TTAGGAAAGACTATATTCTTAATGTTCCGCAGGCGGAGAATATATTTATGATCTTTTCCCCAAATTTTGATGATTGCATTCTCAGGGATTTTAAACATATAGAACCAAATCCCTTAAAGTTAGAATAATTGTGTAATTTCTGTTTAATGCATAAAGTGTACTTGTACATTTTCATTGCGTTTAGTATTGTAAATGATGACGTAGGATGACGAATGTAAAATTGTTTTTAAGTGTCTGATAAGTCAGTAATGACTGGTTTTACCTGAACTTGTGAAATGTATCTGTTTTATGTAAGTATTAACATGTGACACTATACACAAATATTTTATTGATATTGATTGACTAACTCTCTAAATGACCATAGCTGTTGATATAGGACGTTAAACAATAATAAACCGAACCCGAGACGTATATATTACGTAATATATACGTCTCTGACCAAACTAAACCAAACACCACTCTCTTTTTCCGCCACCACTGGGGATCGAACCGAAACTCTTGGGAGAGTGAGTGGTTTGAAGCTCACGCTTGATTGCACACAGTAGAAATGACTGAGGGCGTTAACGATCACGGCTACCGAGACACCAAGCATCTCAATTTATATAAACTTTATTTATTTTACAATAATTGTTAAACAAGTTATTACAACTTATATTAATCACTCTTGTTGGACCGGATATTAGCACGGGGGTCTTATTGTGAGAGGAAACCGGAGTACCCGGAGAAAACCCACGTGGTGACCCCATACCTTTTCACGTCAGATTGGGAAATCGAACCCCGGCCGCATTGGTGAAAGGCAAGTGCTCTATCCACTGCACCACCTGACCACCTTCTCAATTTCTTTCGTGAAAATGAAACAAACCCCCGCCAAAAAAATATCATCATTTCGTCAAGTTTTTCTTTATTTAGTTGACTTAAGGATCTCTGTACCACAGCAGGCAAATCACAAAAGAATTCCACTGTATTTTATCTTACGTAGTATAATTGTAGCACAATTGAGCCAGAACACTTCCGTCGACTGGATAGCTCAGTCGGTTTGAGCGATCGTTTAATTATCTGAAATCCTGGGTTCGAATCCTAGTCAAGCCCCGATTTTTTTTTTTGTCACTCAGAACACTGTTGTTGTTTGTTATTTTCATCTTTATTATATTTATTTCTCATAAAAGCCCTACAAGATATGTTTTTCTTTACATAAATGATTTATCAAAACCATGGTCATGCTGGAAAAAAACAGTATCCTATGCGTAATTTCTAGTTTTGGTACCGGTACTGGAATCCTTAAATTCGTTTTAAATAACAGCTACAACCATGACTTGGCCAATATACTTTCGTCTGTCATGTAACTCAACTGGCTACGTACAGAACAAGTGTATAATAATATGAGTACCAGGTTCGAGTCCTGGTCAGCGCCTGTTAAAGATTTTTTGTTTACTTCATGTTTATTATTTTTTCCATGAAAATACTGCAACGTAAATTTTCTTTTCAGAAATGATTTATCGATACTATAGTCTTGCCGACAAAGTTCCCTATGTATAGCTACAGCTTTTGGCAGTGTTGCAAGGATCCTTAATTTGGCAGTGGTGCATGGATCCCTAATTTGGGCAGTGGTGGATGGATCCTTAACTTGGCACTGGTGTATGGATTCCTAATTTGGCAGTGGTGCATGGATCCTTAATTTGGCAGTGGTGCATGGATCCCTAATTTGGCAGTGGTGCAGGGATCCTTAGTTTGGTACTGGTGCATGGATCCCTAATTTGGCAGTGGTGCATTGATCCTTAACTTGGCACTGGTGCATGGATCCCTAATTTGGCAGTGGTGCATGGATCCTTAACTTGCCACTGGTGCATGGATCCCTAATTTGGTATAGTGCATGGATCCTTAATTTGGCACTGTTGCAGGGATACTTAATTTAGCAGTGGTGCAGGGATTCTTAATTTGGCAGTGGTGCATGGATCCCTAATTTGGCAGTGGTGCAGGGTTTCTTAATTTGGCAGTGATGCATGGATACCCAATTTGGGCAGTGGTGCAGGGATCCTTAATTTGGCACTGGTGCAGGGATACTTAATTTAGCAGTGGTGCAGGGATTCTTAATTTGGCAGTGGTGCATGGATCCCTAATTTGGGCAGTGGTGCATGGATTCCTAATTTGGCAGTGGTGCAGGGAACTTTAATTTGGCAGTGATGCATGGATCTTTAATTTGGCAGTGGTGCAAGGATCCCTTACTTGGCAGTGGTGCAGGGATCCCTAATTTGGCACTGGTGCAGGGATACCTAATTTTAGCAGTGGTGCAGGGATCCCTAATTTGGCACTGGTGCAGGGATACTTAATTTGGCAGTGATGTAGGGATCCTTAAAAATGAATCACAAACAATTCTATTCGACTAGCACTTCCATCCCTTCCGTTAGATTATCAGGTTGGCGAGTACGTTTTATTAGAATAAACTGTTCATATCATGATCACATTAATGACTAAAAATAAACGAAGTCGTCAAAATCGAGTACAGTGTATAAAATCAGTGACGTCACCAATAAATAAATACAAAATATTGAAGTCATAAAAATACTATGACGCCAAGAAGCTTACTATAATTTTAACAATTTTTCAAAACCATTAATATCGATGAAGTGTAAAGCATTTACAAGACATGAATATATTTTAATGCAATCTATATAATACATATAGGATCTTACATGAGTTTCCATTTCATAGGAGATTTATGAAACGAGTCTAAGAGTTTTTCAATTTAGCGAGCCTCTGGCGTGCTTAAATGAAAAATTCGTGACGAGTTTCATAAATTGCATATGAAATGAAAACGAGTGTTAGATCTTTTTTAATCAAGATTGATTGTAAAACGACAATTTTCATGCAACCCTGAAATGTATAAAGCCGCCATTTTGACTCCAATGTGTAAGTCTGTGACGTCATGTACTTGTCCTAGGCGTGACGTCACAATTGAAACAATTGGAACTTACAACCAATCACAGGGCTGATAGGTCATATTACATGGGTTAATACGCAAATAAATATAACATGGGTATATTCACTGGATAACGCAGTACATCATGTGATAAATGTGTATTCATCACAAGACAACTTTGAAATTCAGTGAACACATCTAATTTTTAGATTATTTTGCATATATTAACATATCTCGTCGGGTACGTTTTAGCTAAATAACTGTTCAATGACAGCCATTATTTGGTTCCTTCAAAATCTAGAAACACGGAACGTATTCGGGGTCCATTATGTCTGATTATACAACAAAGGGATGCTGGCAAACTTTTTATTCCATGGCCGCATATTCATAATTCTTCGACGGTAAAGTAAACAATGGCAGCTTCCTTTTACGACGTTCGACAGCGTTACTACCAGAGCAGTGTACATAAAAACCGTTATATGTTTAAAAAAATTTAGAAGAAAATGAATAAATACGTTCGAAGTGCTACAAATATTACTTAACTAAAAATTTAAAAAGCGATGAAAAGAAGAAAGAGAGTGTTGTTTACTGTGTTATTTCTTCAGTTTCTCATATATCGATGTAGCAATCACGGTTACCGTAGTTACCATCGTAGCAACCCGCTACGACTTGTTTTCTTTGCAAAGCGCTTAAACATTATTTATTATGTAAACATAAGGATTGACCTTCAATTTGACGGCGTATACGGTAGTATGAACGCAGTTGGCAACGAACATAATCTTTATGGTGCGCTAAGGCGCACCATACAATATGTTCGTTGCCAACTGCATTCATACTACCGCGTACGCCGTCAAAATGAAGGTCAATCCTTGATTCTAACACGATTCGATCCCCTAAATGAACTCATATACTATAACCTATTGTGACGTCATGATATTGGTTGACGTCACAGGCTTCCAGAAATTACACAATATATGCAAATCATTGAAAAAGAACTACCAAGCGAAACGGGGCGTTTTTTTCACTTTTTTTCAAATAAATTTTAGATGCATAAAAAATTTGAAACCATGGCTTGATCAGCACATGAATTACTTATGCAGTTGAATGAGTAACACGTCGGAGTTTTTACGTCCTGAATATCTAATGGTTATCAAAAAAAAATCACGTATTCAGGTTTAACAGAATTTAAAAACATCACAGCATCATGCTTTTTATCATTAGAAAATACATTGTTATCACAAAAGGAAGAAAAAAATAATGCCAAAAGCACGGATTACGTCTGCAACTTTTGTGAGCTTTATTCTGTACGTTGCCCACGTATTTAAAATACAACTTACATACATTTTGTATTGTGCAAGTATGACAATTCCAGCAGTGATATGAACAATTTAGGTGATTTTGACGGCTTTCTTATACATGAAGGCGATATCACGTCAAAAATCTTATCCCGTAGTTTCATAAAATTTACACTGTTTTTGTTATTGACGCAATAAGGCGTTCATTGGACTAGAAATCTCGTTTTGCTGACGCCATAGTGACATGGCGTCAATGGTACATGGGCATTAAGTTCACATAACGCTTCATTTACCTTGATATTTAAACAAGAGTAACGCTGGGCGGGAAAATATACCCCGTCGAATGCCATATAGTGTTATATACTTTCTTACATTGAAATAAGATCTGCATCATTCTAAGAGTGGTTAAGCTGACATGCTATAAAAAAATGTTGGATAAAAACTCCGGACAAAAAATCAAATACTGAAATGAGCAAAGGGCAATAACTTTTGCAAAAATCGTCAAATCAAAATCATTTCAAGGGAGACACAACTTCATATCATGACTATAATGTATACCAAATTTCAAAGAGATCCGTTGAAAAATGTAGGAGGAGATTGCCGGACAAAAATCAAATACTGAAATAAACAAACGGCAACAACTTTTGCAAAAATTGTCGAATCATTTTTTTTTAAGGAAGACACAACTCCATATCATGATTATACTGTATACCAAGTTTCAAAGAGATCGGTCGAAAAATGTAGGAGGAGATTGCCGGACAAACAAAAGTTTATGCCGGCCGGCCGGCCGGCCAACCCCATACCATAATACTTCCGTCAAATTTGACGGTCGTATAAAAAGCGGACCTAAATAATAATGTCGATTATTAGCAAACATTATTGGAAGAACATATTCTAAGTACCCATGTTAACAGTAAAGCAAGTCTTAAGTGTGTTTGAATGGAAACATATAATAACAGAATTGATTTAATTCGTCCCTAAAGACTGTTACTGATATACAAGCAAACAATCTGGAACGAGTTCTCTCTATGTGTGACTTTCTGAAGCTAGCTTGAAAGTATGGAGCCCTCAAAGGGTCATGGTAAAATACGAGTTACCAAAGAGCACGTATTAGTGAGTAAATGTCTATATCCCTTCAATATTAGTGACGGACAAACAGAACGAGTTGTCTTCCCCTCCACTAAACCACGTCTGAAAGTCATCGTACAATCTCTTGTACTTTTTGTCTGTATGACCCCGACGACACAATTCACAAAACGTTTCATTGGAATCAATTGTATCCTTAGCAACGAAATGTTTCCGCCAATTGAAAAATGTACTAGGTGTTCGTTTTGTGTTTGCCATCAGTTTCAAGAAATTTCCAAGATATTCAATAGAATTGAACTCTTTCGTTGAGAGGTAAGATCCGGGAGGTAGATACTGATCTAAATTTGCACCGCTCCTGATGATTGGAATAGCGTCAAATAGGCTCTCAAATATTTTAAAGCTCTTTTCGGTAATGTAATCTCGACACAACGAGTTTTCAAACGAGAGATAATATCTATAAATTGATTGTAATTTTCGAACACATATAGGCCACTTTTCATCACACTTTAAGTCGCCGCACTGTCCGAAAATATCGACACCAATAGTTTCATTCAACTTTGCCGCATATTCGTTTCGCATACTGTGACTTCTTTTACAATTTGAAACGAACCAAACGATGTCTTTCTCCTTTGCTTCCCAATTGAGGTCAAATTCGTGCAGTACTGCGTCACCGGTGGACTTTTCTCGTTTATCAATAACACCGTACGGGCTAAATATATCAGAATCTCTCCTGTACGAAATCGTCCAATTGAAAAGTCCTCTCCATGCGGTATATGACCTAGGGTGAATTGGTGGCGGTTCCATGCTGTGAAAGACCCATATTTGATTCCTTGGTTTCGGCGGAGGGTCTTCCGGCATATCTCTCCACACAACGATAAGGTTGTCGGTTTCATCATCTAGTGTTTCGCTATCAGTGAAATAGCAACTATATTGACACCCTTCAAAAATATCAGAACTGATATAGTGCGGCCTTTGTATATAATGAATCCGACGTTTGATTGTGAATTCTCGTGGTAAAACGGTCCATTGTATGGATTCAGCGTAAGTTAGATAACTTTCAAGATAAAAGAGGCGGGTAAGTATCGCAACAACAGCCAATGCTATCAGCGCTAGGATCGCATTCCTCCTGAAATGAAATGAAAATAAAAAGCTGTGATAACAGGAAAAGATTAATATTAAGCCTAGCCTTTTGTTTTATCCTTTTGTATATGACATACCCCTGCAGCACGGGGATCAAGATTTGGTTTGGTTTGGTTTCTATTTTGTTTAACGTCCTATTTACAGCTAAGGTCATTTAAGGACGTGCCTACATGTGGGTTGTGTAAGCATGCATGTGTGTATGTGTGCCGGAGACAGGGTATGTTGGTGTACTTGCCTCCTTGTGAAAGCGCGGATCTGATGCCGACTTTATAGTGCTGTCTCACTCAAATACCTGGTCGAAGGCACCCAACACAGCATTCCGCCCAGTCACACTATACTAACAACGGGTGAACCAGTTGTTGCCATTCTCAAAATGCTGAATGTTAAGCAGGGAATAACAATTACCAGTTTTAAGGACCTTGGTATGTCCCGGCCTGGGAACAGAACCCATTGCTTTCCTCACCTGGGCGAACGTTCAGCATTAAAGCCAAAAGTGAGGTATTGCCAAGCAAGGCGCTAGGAAACAAAAGGTTGTTAGAAGCAGAGAGAAATATAAAAATCCCAACTATTGCATGCAGCAGATTTATTGTAATCGCATTTGTGTCTCCAAATAGAGGACATAAAAGAAATCCCCAATTCTGCAAGGGGTTCCCACATTAGTCGCCCCTTACGATGCAGTGGGTAACAGCTGGTGTATTTTTTTTCTCGTGAACCTGCTGATACCCACTGCATGTATCGTACGAGACACCCCCCCNCCCCCCCCCCTTGCAGAATTGGGGATTCGATTTTGTGCCCTCTCCTTGGGGACTCAACAGCGACCAGAATAAATCTGATGTACCAATTGCAATATTTTGGATCCTTACATTTCTCTCTTCTTTTAACTACCCTTTTTTTCCTAGCGCATTGTTTGGCAATACCTCACGTTTGGCTTTAATATGGAGCGTTTGTGGGAAAGGCAATAAGCTCTGTCCCCAGGCCGGGACATACCAAAGTCCTTGACATATTTTAGTTGTTCTTCCCTGCTGAACGTTCGGTATTTACGGCAATGACAACAACTGATTCACCCGTTGTCGGAATAATGTGATCGAGTGGAATGCTGTACTGGATGCATTCGGCATCGTATTTCAGTGAGGTAGCATTCTAAAGTGGGTATCAGATCCGCGTTATTGCAAGTAGGCAATTACACCAATATACCCTGTCGCCAGCACACATACACACAAGCACGCATACACTACACACATGGAGGCACGTCCTTAAATGGCCTTAGCTGTTAATAGGACTGTAGACAAAATAAAACCAAAGCAAACCAACCGAAAAATGTTGTAATACTTCAATAACAGTAAAAACCATTACACGTGAATATTTTGCAATCGGAACTGTCCGGTCTTTCCGTCAAACTGTAAAATGTTTGAATAATCGGGGACCAATGGTTAAACATCATTATCGTAATGATTTGTTATGAGTTAAAATTGATTACATGAAATACTTTCTGTGTGTATGAGACAAGCTTAAAACTAGTAATTAAAACTACACGGGGATGTTTTTTCGAGGTTTAAAGTCCTGGCAAAAATGAAAGAGTGGTTAAATGAAATAAGAAAGAATGTAGATCGAAAGTGTTAAATGGGGGAAGCACATAACTGTTCTGTTGGTGGTGGTGATGGTGGGGGGAGAGGCATATTAGTCGCCGTGGTTTGGGGGG